ACGGAATTCATTTGTTTAGTCAATTACCAAAATTTGGATGATTTTGAATATTCACTTGAAAAGTTATCAAAGAAAAACATTTTTCATTTTGTAACTTCGAGGGCCCGTTACTTGGTAACGAAGGATTTTAGGAAAAAAAGTTATATGAAGTACTGGTGATATTTTGACCCATCTATACATTCCCGAGAGGAAAAGAGGAAGTCCAGGGACACCCTGTATATATCTCAAACGAGTTGTGGCTACAAAAGACATATAGGGCAGATGCACCGTTTGTGGCCACTTTAAGGGTTTGATATCGTCGATTAAAGTTATACCAATAATTACATGACAATTTTTCACTTTGTTCACATCAAAGGAAACTGTAAATGTTACTGATTTTGAAAGACGGGCATGATAATCTAATATAAGAGTTGAAAAGAGATATATTCAATAAAATTCTAGTTGAATACGATTTTACCAGTACCTAGTAGCCACCTTTTCACCAGTTTTGGCCAGGAAGAAATCCGATTGTGGCCACTGAGTGTTCAAAGACCGAACCATAGATAGGTAGATAGCTACATGCTGAATTAAATGTGATGATATTTCATATTTACTTCAAAAACAACAAAAATATACATATATTCAATAAAGATATTATTATAGGAATTGTTTCAGTTCAGGAACCGACGAAGCCCCTCTTGTATTCATGATAGTAGACTCTTTTATTTTCAGAATGATATCCTTTCTTTCATGCCAGAGGTCAGGTAGATCAGGCCATTTCAATGATTTATCCCACATTTTTACATTGTACAGCAGTAAAGTTCACCATTTACGACCTTGTCAACAAATTTAGTGGGATAAAAATTGTTATTATAACAAATGAATTTACACTCAAAACTAAGTCATTAGTAGATTTTTGGTGTCTGTTAACATCTTTGGTACTCTTGTCATTCTCGTTCACAATGACTTCCTCTAGAGCTAATATTATTAGAAGTACGTATATCCTTACGAAGTATTTTTTTGTAGTAGTCATCTTGACAATATTTTCTTTAATTTCCTTTTCAACAGTCTTCTGTTGATCAGTTTTTCAAGCATTATTTTCTTCATAGCTGTTCGCTTTAGCTTCCTAAATTTCTGTCCATCCATTTGAAGTAACTACCGATGGAAGGCTACTCTTAGACCATTTTCTTCCTGGCGTTTTCTTCACAACTTTTAGATCTATTCCAGATTATTTGAACAGAATACATCAGGCCTACTCTATTCATAGGAGAACCCTTAGCGGCACAATCAAGTATCCAAGTTACAATTTTTTTCTCTGTAGCCAGTCCCAATTCATATTCAGGTCCTACTCGTCTACACTCATCGGCCGAATCTCCTGTTTTCGAGATAAAAATTCAAAATCAAAATATCTTCCTCTATTCCTCTGTAAAAATTATAAAAATCATATGATCAGTCTATTTACAAAATAAAAGCATATTCATCCCTCCCACATACGGGAGTGCGTGGGTGGAGTGGGATGGATAGGATAGGTACAGGATGGGTGGGAGCGAAGCAGGAGGAGACTTCAATGTTGAGCCCCAGGATGTCCGCAAAGGGAACATCATCTCATAGCCCAACAGTAGGGTATGGGAGAGGTCCCCACTGATGGTGACGGGTGACTCTCTGCCCAATAGAGCCTAATTTCTTACTACGCCTAAGCGCCCTTTCACACGGGGAGCTTCACGTCTGTCGCTCCCGAGAGACACGAAGGCTCTTAGCGCCAAAATTCAACCTGTCAAATGAAGCTTTCAAACGAAGAGCGGGAGCTGTCACGTCTCGGGAGACGAGAGCTCTCAGATCTACTGCACTTCGAGCCGGGGAGCCACGTCTTCTCAAAATGCAAAAGGATGAGTGGGGACTTCCACACGAGGAATAAACACGGCTCTCCGTATTTGACACTTCACACTAGTTTTCATGGCAGATTTCTATGTGGGGCTATTAATTTGTACTGTTTGCAATCAACCCGCTCTTTGGGATAAAATTCTCGACATTTATAAGGATCGGAATGAAGTCGTAAACAGTTGGGTGGAATTCTGAAAGGTGCCCAACGTAGATTTCGCAACTTTATCCATCCCATTCTTGATCGTTGACGTTTCTGTCGTCGAGGTTTGTGTATAAGATAGAGTTGGTAAATGGCAATAGCTCGCGTGCGATTCATTCTACGACTGATTTCAAGGAGCCAGGAAATAAAAAGGCTCCCGATCTGAATGGGCGGTAAGTAAGAGTGATAAACGCTTCCTTATAGGAACGAGAGACGTAAAGCTCCCCGTGTGAGCATACTGCGACAGGACGGCACAAGACAGGAACATGAGGAAACGTGGCCTTCGAGAGAGAAGACAGTTCGGCATTGGCCTGGCTTGTTCTGTCCTGTTCCCATTCTGACATGTGCCTGTCCGTTGCCTGCCTAAGTGTACGACATTTCATAAGAAACTATTGAAAGAGAAAATAAATTTCACGTCATGTTCCCGTTCTGGCCCCGGCATGTACATGTCCTGTGCCGTCTTATCACAGTGTGCCGTTGCGCTGTCTTACCAAGCTCACGCGATAATTGTTTCGATGTTGCGCTTCGAAACTTCATGGCGTACTGTTTGATCAGTATTTAGGTTTACCCATAGCCTCCTGGAAAACGTTCATTTCATCCAAAAACTAGGTTGAAGCAATTCTCGTATCACGGGTGACCCGTGGATTATCCTAGACGGTTTTCCATGTACTAAACGCGATCGCGTTAGCGTCGTTCATGGAAGACATCGAGCGATTCATATATCAGCCTGCATTCACGGGGCTAATTATGATAGTTTCTAAATGCCGTGACGTTCCTCGTCAGCGAGCATTTCGGTGGAAAGAACTTAAAGGATTTCTGAGACAGCCACCTGATATGTTCAGTGATCGTCTCAACTTTAGCCAGATCTAACAGATCAACCAATGAAATTTATCTGTCACTTTACCTGCAATGATCTGCACTGTCTCGAGTCTCGGTAGAGGAGTTTTCTTAAGGCTGAAGAATAGGGGACAGGTATACAACATGGCTGGTCTAATCACTGGCTGTTGTCAACACTGCGCCTCGCGTTCCGTGCAATGAGCGGCTACGTGCATTTTATCGCCGCACCCACTCGTTGGATCGCCAAGCTCAGATGTTCCTGAAAGTTCAGGCACATATTCAGGATAATACCCAAGATATCGCGCGCTTCTCTGCTTGTCAAAACGGTCACCCTTAACTCACAATTTCCTATAGATCTTCACATTCGTAAATTTTCTGGAGAAGTTGACGAGTTATGTCTTCCTTGGGTTCATTTTGATTTCATTTTCCTCAAAATACTGCACAACCAACCTGTCGAGGCCTCAATATCATCAATACCTGGGGCTTCGTTTCTCTTCAGGGCTTGATGGTAGCAATTACCTCCTCGGCGTCTGTGATCCACTTGAGCAGAGTCGGCTCCGATATCATTGGAGGCGGTCTAATTTTTATGTTCTCAAAGGTATTGGTCATTTCTTTGTGGTGGTCACGGTCGTCGGGATCAACCTGGTGAACACTGGCGGAGTATTCTCCGAATAAATGAGCCTTTCGAAGATCTTTCACCACGTGAATGGGATGGCCTCAAGCCGGTTGTCCATTCTTTTGGCCATCCTACACACAGAGTGGTCGTGTGTGCTGAAGCTCTCGAGTTTATCCCTCCGCTTCTTGTTGGTGAACTCATTAATGCGCTCGTTAACCTCAGCAGCATTTGCATTTGCATTTGATCTTCGCTACGCATTGCGCATCCGATGTTTTTGCTTAATGAGTTCAACAACATTAAGCGAAAGAATATCCCAGTCGCCTTTCACTACGATCTTCTTCGTAGAGGGACAAGTTGACCACAGACCCTGTGGTCAACTTTGCCGATGTTATTTTGGAAAATTGTGATCATTTATCAAAGCAAGTCATCAAGCAGGATGACCGAATCACATCTCCATTCAAGTCTTTGTGGTGTTATTGCGAAGGGGATGAAATTTGTTAACTGTCATAAACTCAACAACTTATGCATGCATCAGAAGATTAATTTGTTATTCCACATATTACTCGAATCAAACGATGAATCATCAAGAAAAATAAACCTCTGAAGAAGCCAGCCACTCGTGCTAGCTTCTTCAAATGAGATTGATTGGTGTTGTACAATTTCAATAATAACATCTTTGATATAGTTGTGACAAAAGATAATGGTAGTGTTAGTGTTACAAGTTTAGTAGATAAAATGTATGTTAATGAAATATCCCAACATCACAACAAATCTTATCTTCTTCATTCATGAATTCACAGGATTAGATTTGCATCTATATAATATACACACGTATGGCAAAACACGTGTTATGTTTTTGTAAAACGAAACGTACCTGAGAAGCACATAATAGTAGATTTGACGACCTTCTTATAGTCAGCATTCACATTTTTGCAATCTTCATTGGTCAAAATAGTACTGGTGACATACTTGAGTACCGGAGTCACACCTTTCTGACTGTTGAAAGTCACTCCCCAACCTGTCACGATGCCTGAAACACATCTTTTAGGTGAAAATAATTGAATTATAAGTGAATTTTGAATTATATATAAGGTGTGGATGGACAAAGCGGCTTCTCTATAGGGGAAAGTCACTGGAATGAAAGTTGTTGAGAGTAATGAAAGCTCAGTTACAAAAGTCACTCTCAACATTCAATAAACATGTTTTTTTATATTTGTTTTCAAAAATATAGAGTAATTAGGATTTATACCGGGTAGTTTATGTCAGATGGTCCCTACCATCCCCTTCCAGCTGAGTAGACTTGACATTAGTGCATTAGTGTGTTTTCATTGGTGCTCAGATAAAATTCCTCATTACTTTAAAAATATCGTTTGAGTTTCAAGTACACATCCTTATTTTATTCGATGAATCTTCAAATAGTGGGACTTTCATGACTCTCGGAAATATAACTTTATAAAACCTTCAACCCCGTATTCATCTCATGAGGTAACGAATTATGAACATAATTTCAAGAAAGTCATAAACCCTGAACAGTGGCCTCTTGGTGCATGCATAAGTCGTTTTTTCATGGAGTGTATGGTTAAAGCAGTGACAACTCAATATTCCAACCAAGTTTTCTTGCTGTTATTATGTATACACTGTTATTAGAGACTAGTAATTTTCAGGTCTATACTTATTTTACTATCGCCTCTTTTAATTTAATCTTTTATAATTTTTAGTATCTTTTTTCATGAACAGTTTCCAATGAAACTCTAAGATTGTCTTTATGGAAATAAAGTATTATTATTTTTATTATAATTAATAATGAATCTAGCTCAGAGCAAGACATTGAGGACTACCGAGGAAAAATCATCCTTCCAGAAATTCCTAAACGTTTTGATGGTATAATTACAAAAATATCAGCTTGGCAGTGTACAAAAATGTTATTTGATTAGCAATCATAGATTCATCCAGAATAAATCAACATCAACCAAGCCATTGGTTTATCATAGGTACATAACTGAAGCCTTTGATAACAAAACATGAGTCGATGCAATGTACACAGAATATGTAGAAGAATTCGATAGCTGAAGTCTATGCTGACAGAATCGGCGAAAATATTTTTCAGAGCTATTCATTAAACCATACAAAGTGTCAAACTCAATAGTTCAATTTCCGAAACATAATGGTCACGTCTAGAATCCTCCAAGGATCACACTCTGGCTCATTTATCTTCAATTTATTTATCAATGATATTGAATCCATCTTCAAAAATACTTCTTTATCGTTTGCAGACGACCTCAAGATATCCGAAACAATTTCTAATCAATTAGTATTTTTTATTCAAATAACAATTTTAATCATGTAACATTTTAAATCAAGTGTCATTTAAAATAGAACAAATTTTGCGAACAATCGTTTTTAATGTGTCGAACAAATGCATGAATCAATTAAATTCAAACAAATAAATTGTTAGTTGAATAAATTAAGAAATGGATATTTGTGACAATAAAAAGTAAAACGGCGTTCCATAGAAATACATCCTCAAATTTTACCTTTGCTTCCAGCAAACGTGTCACTGCCAGAAGCGAGTTTGACGAATTTGATAACGTTGCTTTCCTTTATTGCTCCAAGTAGTTTCACAAGCGCAATATCATTCGTTAATGAAGCAGCGTTCCATCCTGGGTGGATGATAAACTGAGTAACGTCAGTGATAGTGACACGAACTTGGGTAGCCTCGTCTTCTTTGATATTATGCGCACCAAATATCAAGGTCGCCTTACTCGCTCTACAAAATGAAAGCAATAGTTGATGATGTTTATTTTCATTTTGAATTAACCTCAGAAACATCGGCCGTCCATAATAGGGAAATTCAAAATCAAAATGTGCGAAGGTAAATTATCAAATGTGAAAACACTATTCATCTAATGAGTAGAAAGTGAGTATTTTGAATTCGAGGAAATAAACATTTTGAAATAAAATTTTGATACATTCATCTCTCCCAACGTACCTACACAGACATTTTTGCAAGATACTTCACAGGGGTTAGCCCTGCAGGTGTTTCTCGTTCATTCAGCAGCAGTACTATAGTGAAATCAGTCTAATTTATCACCTACAGGCCGGTTTCGAGGTATTACCACTCGTCATTGCAGGAAAGATCCGACCCACTCAGCAGTGTACCTGACGCTCGAATAATTTCAACGCGCCTCGACTGCATGTATGAAACCTTCTAGTCCGGTCATTATACAATATTGAATTAACGAAAATTGCGACAGAGCTAAATTTTGGTGAAGACCTTCATTTTGGCATAAAAAATAAAAATGTTACAGTCCCAATCTGTCCCATGAGCACATCGAAAGTTATTCGGGGTCAAAGGTCAAAATTTCAGGTTTTTTAAGTTTCTCTCGAAAACCGTAGGTTTTACCTCAGACCAAAGTTGTAGCTCTCAAAATTCTCTACAAAATGATCCTTATGATGTCTTCGAAAATCCCCTCTACCCGTATGACCTTGAATATAACATCTGGGTTGCCTCCATGTATAAAATGACAGGTCTGACGTTCAATAATAAGAAAGTACTTCCTCTTTTAGCTGCGAGTAGCACTCTAAAAGTTCACGAAGAAGAAGTACAAACAAACCCTGTATTATTATTCCAACGTATGAGTGTCACTAAAACTTTTGAGGATGAAATTGAAAATTTTTTTGCGTATGATTTAGCCCCTCACCCGTTATCGCTCTTCGATGCAGCTGGAATGCGTAAAACAGCAGTCAGCCATTTGCGATTGCTTTAAATCAGTCAATGCTGAGGGTGATCGTACTAACGCTGCTTACATTAACGATGGAGGATATCTACTACATCACGTTGTGTGGGATCGAGAAGAAACCTCCAACATTATTTTTGAAAAATATATTCAGTATTTGCGTAGACATTACGGTCATACAGTGACGGTAGTATTTGATGGCTATAGTGACACAACAAAAAATAGTAAAGCTGCAGAACAACGTCGTTGAACTACTAAAACATCCTCGAGTTCCGACATGATATTCGATAAATTTATGACACTCCCACCAAACCAACAACAATTATTCTTAGCTAACATCAATAATGAATCTCGTTTCATTTCCATGTTAAGTGACAATTGACGGTTGAAAATATTGAAGTTAAACAAGCTCAAAATGACGCAGATGTTCTTATAATTGAAACAGCTATAGAAAAATTTAATGCAACAAACGCAACAATTGTAGTAGGTGAAGATGTTGATTTGTTGGTTCTACTTACCGCAAGGACTCCAATTGATAAAACTATTTACTTTCTGAAACTTGGAAAGGCTCAACAGCGAACAGAAATATATTCTTCAAAAAGTTTATCAGCTTATCCAAAATGCCAAAACTATATTTTATTTTTACATGCGATAACCGGTTGTAATATTACATCGGCAATATACAGAAGGGGCAAAAATTCAGTTTTTAAATTATTTGAAAAACAAAGATTTAAATGACTGTGCGAAAGTCTTCACGGACATTGATTCTCCACCTTAGACAATTATTACTATATTTAACCTTTTTCAAAAATACCCGAAACAAGAGGCAAGTACAACTATCTTGTCTTCCTCCAACATCGGCATCTGCTATTCAACACTTGTATCGGCTATATTATCAAGTTCGGACATGGCAAGGAAATCAACTCAACCCTGAAGACTGGGGTTGGAAATTAAAAAATAATACTCTGGAACCAATCAAAACTCTTCTCCACCCTGCTCCTGAAAAACTCCTTAACACAATTTTTTGCAGTTGCAAGGTGTTCACCTGCGTGTACCAATTGCCAAGGTCAGTCTTGTTCAAATGTTGAGTTGAGTACAACGGAGGATGATTCATGTGATGCTGATGAAGATACAACTGATACATCATTATTTGAACAATTTATGAATATCCGGCAAGAAGAGGAAGAGGAGGAAGAAAAAGAAGACATGATGGTTGAAGTTAACTATGACGAGTATGAATCAGATTGAAGTATCAAAAGAAATCAAACTGACAATTACACTCCATAAACATTATCAACCCGAATAATCTTCATGCAGTTAAATAAGTATTGTGACTAAAAATTACGTAATAACGATTCGTGGAATAGGCCTACTGGGGAAACCAAGTTAAAAAAAAACGTGCCGAGTACACTACACACAGATGGTGTGGAAACGTGTGCATATTACATAGAACGTGACTTTTACAATTGCGATATCTCAGGAACGGGGATACTTACAGAAAAAATCATGAGAACCATGTTTATAGAGATTTATGGAATCTACAACTTTGGTCTGAGGTATTTTAAACTTACGGTTTTCGGGAAAAACTCTAAAAACCTGAACTTTTGACCTTTGACCCCTAATAACTTTTGTAGCGCTCATGGCACAGATTGGGACTTTCACATTTTCATTTCTTATGCTAAAATAAAGGTCTTCACCAAAATTCAGCTCTGTCGCAATTTTCGTTATTTCATTACTGTTTTCGGGTCTAAATTGACCGGACTATTCGTCCAAGTGGAAGATTGTTTACCACTAACACCTTCAGCCTTTCTTCAATGTTCCAGGCGTCTCCACTCAGTCGGATGGCTCTTTTCTGGATGGAATCCAGCAGTTTCAGGAAATGTTTGGGGGCCAGAGTTTCATACAAGAGAACAATACTCCAAAGAAGGTCTGATCTGAGCTTTATAAAGCATCAAAAGTTTCTGGGGTGTGTAGTTTTCTGGTTCAGAACAGTGTTCCAAGCACCAAGACATATTGGTGTCCATTTCAACCTCCAACAAACTTATCGAAGCAGAAAGCGGAATTGTCTGACCTGCCATTATTATATCCGGTTCTTGGAGAAAACTGATGCTTAGGTTTTGTGATATCGAATTGAACCTGGTTACTTTCACCCCAATTCGAAATAACTTCTAGATCCTCATTAAGATATGCAACCTCCTGCTGCTGGTGAAGATGTACCTCCGTAGCCGGTGTCCTGGAATCCAAATGGAATGACGAGACAAGTGTGAAAGCAATATATTGGATTCTTGTGTTTCTACAATAAGTCGTTGATATACAATGAAAAGAGGGTTGGATACAATATGGATCCCTGGGGAATACCGGCGTTGATGGTAAAAGTATCCGAGAGATATCTATCGACGGCCACTTGCAGGAAACGTTCTTTCGTGAAGCTGAAGAGCCATACACAAAAATGATCCGACAAGCCATAGCATCAAAGTTTGGCCAGCAAATCCTCATGCCACACAGTGTCAAAGACCTTAGAAATATCAGCTCTTGACTCTGCATGTTTTTCGATTGCGTTATTCCAAATATGGGTGACATACGATAGAAGGTCGCCTGTTGATCTTTGTTTCCGAAAGACATATTGATGATCGCTCAAGATGGTGAAGCCTTAGGAATATTTGAGGATATGGTGGTATGCCACTTTCTCCATGAATAACGGAAGAAGTAGTTGTTTTTCAGTAGGCATTAATCAGAACCAACTGTGTAGGTACTTTGGGAGAGATGTATTCTTCTCTTTTAGGAAACAAAAGACAGAATCATACATTTGATGAGAACAGTATCCGACCTATAATATTAATTTTGAGTTCACTCAGTATCTAGAGCTCTGGTTCATAATATGTATATGCAGTTTCATGACCAAAAAAAACAAAATAGAAATAGATATATAAAGTGATGTTCCATCGTTACTGAAAAAAATTGTAAATTCAACATAAGGCTTAATATATTGTAGAATATTTTCGCTAACACTGAAAATCTCTACTACACTCACTACATACTTATCAAGACAGTGTGCGGCTGTTAGAACATAGTTCGAAGATATGATTGATCCACCACAGAACTCTTGTGAAATCCCTTTGGTCAAGTACATTCCGACTTGGTAAGGATAAGCATGTGGCGCTGCATCTTGTCCTCCTATTATTCGAACCCTAGGTGGAATGGAACTGTAGGTCATTTGATTCGGGTGGATGAAATAATTTCCTGCCTAAAAATTAGTATGATAATAATGATTATCGAACGATCAAACGATAAACGAATCAAAAAGTACATGCAACGTAATCTCCATCAAGAGCCACACAATCATTCCAGAGCCGCATTTCAATTCCACTTTTGTAGAACGATTCATTTTTTGCCTCAAAATAGGGTGACACTACCTTCATGACGAGAGAAGAGATCATCGTAGCTCAGAAGGAGGATCCGGTCTTGAAAACTGTATGGGGATGGATTGACAAAGAAGTAAGGCTGGAATGACAAGAGGTCTCCAAGTACGGCCTGCAGGAAAAGGGTTACTGGGGCTCCATGTGCATTGAAGATGGCCTTCTCACTCGGAAATAGGAAAGCCCGGATGGAAGAACCCACAAGTTGCAGGTAATCCTTTCAAAAACGTGTATTCCGAATACACTCGAACAGCTCCACGATGGTCGCACTGTAGGGCATTTCGAAGTAAATAGAACTCTATCGAGAGTGCGTGAGAGGTACTATTGGGTCAATTGCTATGACCTGTGCTATTCGAGAAAGGATCCGAAGACACGACAAAGAAGGAGGTTGAAGCAATACCTCAGTGGATGCCCTTTCGAGAGAATCACAGTTGACTTCTTGGGACCGCTCCCTATGACCACATCCGGCAACAAGTACCATATGGTTGTGATGTACTATTTCTCCAAATGGCCTGAAGTAGTAGCCTTACCCAACCAAGAGGCTAAAACGGTGGCAGAAGCCCTGTTGCAGAACGTAATTGCCAGATACGGAGTACCCCAGTGACTACACTCAGATCAGGGCTGCAACTTCGAATCGGATTTATGGAAGGAAATGATGACTTTGCTGGGAATAAAGAAGACAAAAACAACTGATCTCCACCCACAGTCCGATGGAATGGTCGAGAGGCATAATCGCATCATCAATGAATACGTCTCAATGTTTGTCTCCAAAAATCCAAGAAACTGAGATAAATTGGTTCCTCTCTTTCTTTTGGCCCAGAACGATTCGAAGAAATGAGAAGAGAGACATTGGAAGATGATCATGGACCAATCTTTGCCAAGATTGAAAGCGCGTGCTTGAAGATCCACCAAGACATGGAGAATACTCACAACAGAAAGTGGGGGAAGTTAGTGAGGTAACAATGCCCAAATACAGACCGAAAACAGGACAACTATGAAGCCATCAACGTCATCAACATGAGTTCCCGCCTGCTCACGGGAATAGAGGAATCCTTGTTGAGGAAAGGCCTGAATTTCGCCATTACGCCAACATCTGTGCCCACTTTGGAGATAATTACTGCAGTGGAATCCACCAGTTCCCTTATTGACCAGACCGAGGCAGAAGAGTTCAGATGGAAAATTACCGAACAGCTGGATCGAGAACCAGTTCCAGCATCTAACATCAGCAATGAAGAACGTAGAGCTCTGAACGGCCTACGTAGAGACAACACCAT